TATTTAACTTCCTTTTTATATATAAATATACTAACAAACTAAAATCGTGTAATGTATGTATACTTTCAAAGAATTATATATCTTAATTATTTCTTGTTTGTTCTAATTTGAAATAAGGAAGAAAAGATAAATCACGTAAGTTAGTATTGCCGACGAATAACCTAGTTGTTTTCTTCCTTTAAAATATTATTAATTATAGTCCTTCCAAACGTTCCTCTAAAGCATGGTCTAGTGTAATATAAAAAAAGTTAATAATTTTGTATACAAATTCACTTTGGCTATTACTACACACGCGAATCGTTCGTGCTTTCACAATTTCATTTTGAATTTTAATAACTATCTAAGCTGTAAGAACAAACTACATGTAATTGATATAAGTCAAATTCTTTTCTTGCATATTGTTGACATGGGTGAACATGAAGAGGACATATGACTAACAACATGTGTGTAGGCCTAAATGTTTTCTTACTATATGTCAGAGATAAGGCCACAGTTGCAACACTACTTAATATTGTAACATTTAAATATTAGTTTATATTTATCCGGTAGTAGGCAACATTTTAAATTTGATAATTTTCTTTTTTCGATTTGAATATATATATACTGTCTCGTTTTCTTGTATTATTCCTTATGTAAAAGTATATTACTTTTAAAACATTTTTCAAACAAAATCGAGTTGTTAAAACTTAAGAAGAGATAAACAAAATCTTTAGTTATTACGTTAGATTGTATTTTTGTCTATTTTGGCATGCATCCAATTTCAAGCATATCCATCGGTATAAATGACATTTTTTAAAACTTATACATGTATGTATGTAGAAAAAAAATGAAGAAAAACTAAAGTAGAGAAACAAAGAATAATACAATTGCAGTGTGTATAGGCTGTTAGGTAGAAAATAAATTCAAAGAAACAATCAAACACAACATAACTAATACACATGAATAAAGAGTTAGACAATTGCAGATGGTAAAGACAAAGGCGGAAATGGTTGGCTGTACGGAATGAGGAGAAATTTAATTGTAGTCAGGGAAAAGTCAGGGAGATTTCATTTACTTAAATCGTAGACACAATAAAAGTTTTACAATCCCCCCCCCCGGACTTTAGAGTTGTCAGCCCCAGTAATCAGTTAATTATTTAGACGTGTATCGAATAAACACCAGTAAGTCTATTATGTGTTAAACTTTGATGTCCTAGCATAGATATTTTCAACGAAGTTTTTGGATACACAACAAAATTTGCAGAAATCATGACCCTGGTGTCAAAAAAGCCTCGCCGTTAGGCTTATATAATTAGTTTATTTTATTAAACTCGAGTTCTAAAATTCTTCTACTTCTTCGATAAAAAATATCAATAGCAAGTTGATTGTTTCTATTTCAATATTCTGGATAATTTTATCTTTCCAATACAAACAATTTTCAATTCAGTATAAAAAGAGATATTTCAAAGGCGAATAAAATGCATTTTGAACAAGATACTGTATCTGGAATCAATGAGCATTAATAATGCGATACCAGATAACCAACTTTGGCAAATAACGAGGCCTGAACAAATGTTAGGCTGTTTGAACAAATGATAGTTTCGGGTGTTAAAACAAAGTTAACCACATTTAAATAGTAATATCAATTCTGGTATATTATCATAGATTTAGTGAACATACATATATACATGTATATACTTAAATTTCGTTGACATAAACGCAGATCATATATATTTTTTCAATAGCACAAACGATAGTTTCGAATACTCCAACTTACGTTTCTTTATCTTTCAGTCATGTCATATTGCATTTGAACAAAAAATTGACATATAAGATTGCATGTTGTCCATTTTGATGAAATAAACAGTATTTTATATTGCTTAAAATAACATCAACTAAACTCAAACCATTAGCGGCGGATAAGAGACAGTACACTTCACATTTCAAAGCCATTACAAACCAGAACTTATTCCAGTCTGAGATATACTAAGCACCAATTCAAGCAATAAACAAGTGAGTTATATGCAATGCGTCAATTGAAGGAGTCATCTTAATCTAAAAAAGTTATGTATATGTCAGTATAAAGACGGAAAAATACATGTTAGCGTCCACCGCTATGAATGTAACTATATAAATCTCCAATAAAAAGAGCATTAAATTTGGTACAAGTTCAAAAATAGGTGTCATTTTTAGATTGTGTAAAATATAACCTAATGCATTTTATTTTGACAGCTTTAAAACGATCATAAAACTACACAAATGCCTATTAACTTCTTAGTGTAGGTTGTAATTATGAAGTGTTTCGCTGCTTGTAACAACTTTTCATATAAATACTTATGACGAATATCTTTATTACTGCAGCAACGAGATCGGAAAAAGGAAAGTTTTAATATCTAAAACATCATTCAAGACTTCTTAAATGAAAAGTCGACTTACTTATTTGGGCACATACCTTAAACATAAACTTACAAACTATATTCATGTACCTGTTTGCGATATTAACTTAAATTGTCCATAATCATATACATTGTACTAACCGATACAGAAAAAATGATGTATTCAATAATATTCCTATTGAGCAATTTAACCTTGCTCAGTTTAAGAACATGCCTTATGTTTTCGTGCTTGAGACCCGGCGAATGTAAGAGCACACACGGTGATAAGAGTGTTCGTTTCATAAAACATTTTCATTACTGTTCTGCAAAGATTTTGCAAAACATTAATTGTAATAAAACAGAAATTTACTTCAACGGTACCATGTCAGATAAAATTAAAGCCACGAAAAAATGGCACTTCATGCCAAAATTGAAATTGGATTTGGTCGGTAAATTCGATTTGTTTATACATGTTCATTGACAGTTCAAAACAAGAACTTGCATTTGATGATTTTTACAATGACATGTATGATTACAATTTGTGCATGTATGTTGATGTTGGTTTTGACAGACATGTTAAAGAAAATTAAGTACACTTGTTACCCTGAATGAAGCTATAATTTCAGGTAAAGATAAAGAAACATCAACAAAACACGTACGTTAAATCAAAATGTGAAACAGATGTCTTCTTCATTTGCAATGATTTTCTAAACAGCCATATTTATAATAAAACTAAATGTTGAAAACCTTGAAAATTTCCTATATTACACTGTTATACGTCAGTGTTAGAGAATGGTTATCTTTTTTTCTGAATGTGTTACAAACATTTAAAAACTTGGTCAATTCCCGTTCATTTGTTATCAGTTAAATGTTAGTAACATTCTATTTCTGGCAATAATTAATTATATACTAATTAATAATTATGATAGAAAGAGAAATCCGTCTGACAGAAATGTCTTAGTTTTTGGACAGGGTTATTTTTCTTGGTGATAAATGGTCAAATTCTCTCATCGCTGAATCCGAAATCATATGGGATTAGCATTTGATTTATAACGGAACTTTTGCTAAGTCAGATATGCGGATAAGTATTGTTTTGTTCAATAACAATTACTCAAGACATAATAAAAAGTTTCACTACATAAGAGTTGTAACCAAATACAATGATGTTACAAAAATCAAATGTACGTCTGTTTTACAGTCATTAGCTGGTATAGTGTCTTGTGAAGATATTTTGAATATAGCATCACAGTATGATATCAAATTAACATCGATCCACCCCATTTATATCATCTTACCGTCCAAAGGAATCATTTTGTCTAAAATAAAATTCCAGAAACCATATCTTATTCTTACGCATTTGAGCAGACAAGCTTATTATAGTAAACAAATCCCTGTAACCTTGACCTTTGACACAGTCACCTAAAAATCAATAGAGGTCATTTACTAGTCATAAACAACCTCAATACCAAATACAAAGCATTTGAGCGCAAAAGCTTTTTTAGTCGAGGCCCCTGTGACCTTTGACCCAGTGACCTAAAAATAAATGGGGTCACTAATTGTCATAATCATTTTCTATGCCAAAAATGAAGACTGGGAGTCAAAAGTTTCTTAAGTTATTGAGCGGACAAACTATTTGAAGTCAAAGTCCCTGTGACCTTGACCTTTGCCCAGTGACATTAAAATCAATAGGGGTCATCAAATAATCATGACTATTCTCCATGTCAAATATGAAGACTGTTGGTCAAAGGAATCTTAAGTTATTGGGTGGACAAGCTTTTTTTAGTTAAGGCCCCTGTGACATTGACCTTTGACCGAGTGATTTCAAAATTAATAGACGTCATTAACTTACCATGACTAACCGCCATGCCAAATATGAAGACTGTGGGTTAAAGGAATAGTATCTATTAGGCGGACAAGCTTTTTCTAGTCAAGGCCCCTGGGACCTTGAGCTTTAACCCAGTGACCTTTAAATTAATAGGGCTCATTTTCTAATCATGACTAACTTTCATTCCAAATATGAAGACTATGGGTCAAAAGTTTCTTAAGTTTTTGAGCGGACAAACTTATTGAATTTAAAGTCCCAGTGAACTTGAACTTTGACCCAGAGACCTCAAAATCAACAGTGGTCATTGAATGGTCATGGCCAACTTCCATGCCAAGTATGAAGACTGTTGGGCAAAGGAATCTTGAGCTATTGAGCGAACAAAGAAAATCCGACGGACGGCGACGAACGGACGTGCGTCCGGCCGGACGGACGGACAGCCGGACGGACAAGCGGATTCCTGTATTCCCCCTTACAACTTCGTTTTGCGGGGGTATAATAACTTTTAGAACGTTAGTACTTCTACTGAAGTATCCGTTAATTTCTGAAATGATGGCTGCAGACGAATGGTCAGCTGTGCACTGCATACTTTTAGAATAACCAAAAAAAATTGCTAGGTAGACGAATGTCTGACAAATGTCTGTTAAGATCTGTGCAGTTGTTAAAATTAAAGGTTCGTTACGTAGTACTAGAAGTATTTGTTTTATACTTTGGCATGACGGGTATGATTTAGTCAATGTCGTATTGTGCCAGAAAATCCGACACCATGTATCTTATTTATAATATAGACTGACACGCTCGTAATGGTTTATTCTAATGTTCTAATGTTTTGGACATGACATGAATATTTTTATCCCAATCAAACAATTTAAAATTTTAATAAGCAAATGACCAACAATAAAAATCAAATTTGAGCATCAAAATGGTAAACATGTATAATACACTATCTATAACAAAATCAATAGTGTAATCATAAACAATTCCAATCAAGTCATCAGTACTCGCTTTGCTATATAAAGGCGGCTTTTAAAGTTTTTGAAGGCGCACAACAAAATCCAAATCATGTAAAAAGAAAAATTACAAAATTTTCAAGTATATACATTTAAATTTATTTCTTCAAAACAAACTTGTTTCCTTGTTACTAAAAGTAAATAAACGAATAGATTGAAAAAAAAATCAGATGTTTTATTACAATACAATGCAACTGCAAAAGGTTTTGTTCCATAAGAAACAGTCCCCCTTTAGGTGGAGACAGCGCACTCTATCCCAGACTTACCTTGGCTTTTTTAATAGATGAAACGTGTTAAAGTATGATTTATTTTACCATGGTTCCACGATATATCGGTAAGCTTAAGACAGTTGCACATTCCAGTTTGTGTATAAGGAGATAAGAAAACATTATAGTTTCATTTGAGGAAAATGTACATAAAAATGCTTTGCAACAAAGCCAAAAATTTAAAATTGATTATGAAGTGTAAAGCTGATGTATTTGAATGCCTTGTTGTGCTTTTGTTTCTATCGACGAATCGCAAAGGAGATTGTGTCATTTCGCAATAAATCATGCGTCTTCCTCATAATCCTAAAAGACACAGCTGATTCGCAGCCGAATGACCTCTACTGTGCGACGTTAAACAAAAATAAAAACGTGACATTTTATGGCCGAAAAATTTATAGGGAAAAACAGAATATATGTTTATTTGCATTGGTCATGCTATAATAACAAACTGATATCTGGGCAGAATCTTGTTGGCCATTCTAAGATAAGTAAAATGATGTAATGAATCTTTCTGAAATGGATTACGTGTCTAATTTTAAATTAATTTAAAGGAGTTCCGGAAACAAACTTCTATCTTATGTTGTTTTTTTTTATTTTGAAGTTCCTTCATTTATTTGTTAACTTTTTTTTTAGATATTTTCCAAAGTAAATTAATGCATATGCAACACATTTGATATGAGACATATGAGCCGCGCCATGACAAAACAAACATAATGGGTTTGCGACCAGCATGGATCCAGACCAGCCTGCGCATCCGCGCAGTCTGGTCAGGATCCATACTGTTCGTTATCAGTTTCTCTTATCTTATTTTGTCTTTTAATTCATATTGTTTTTTTTTCTTCGGGATTAAAATTTCCAATGCAAGAACGTGTGTCTCTTCGATAATATCAGGATTATTCGATTTCATCGTCTTCTTTGTTTTGTTTATGAGCTTTCAAATGTATACAATTTACTGGAGATGCCACTTCTTTATCAACATGTTTAAATGAGTAGGTTTTGCCCATGCCATATCGAATGACAACTGGTTCTATCAAAAGTATAACACCAGCAAAAATTAGAGTAATACCGGTTAAGATAAATGCAGGATACCAGCTTCCGTAATAATCTGCCATCCAACCTGATTAAATAAAAAAACGAACGAAGTTATATGTGGGTTGAACTATTTACATTATCTTATATTTGTGACACAATGTTTATTCATGATCGAAAAGAAATAATAACACGACACTTTCTCCTGAAGTGATTCCTCAGTCTTTTTACGTGTAAATATTTATCTTAAAGGAAACATTTGTATTGATGCTTTACGATCATAAGTTCTAGGAAAATATTTTATACCTACCTGCGATAGGTTGGCAGATCAAAGACGGAACTGACATACAGACAAACATGATCGAGAAGGCTGCTTCAAAATTTTCCATACCCACTCTTTCAATCGCTAACACTGATATAAGGGCAAGAAAAGACGCTGGAAAAGCCGCCGCGACTCCGGCGTACACTGCCATAAACGTAAAAGTATCGAACAGTGGTGATATCAAAGCAAACACTCCTCCAACAAACATGCATACTACAAATATATATTTCTTTTGAATAAAATTCAGATCTGCAAACCACCCTACAGCAATCCTTCCGGTCAATTCTGCACCACCAATTATAGATACACCGATTGTTATGTGAGTGTTACTATACCCTAGTGTTTTTATATGGGCAGGAATTAAAATGTAATTGGTAATGTGGCCAAATGAACAGATAGTAAAAGCTAGTACTAACAGTGAGAAACGTCTTTTTTTAAACAAACAAAAATCTAAGTTAAGTGCATTGCAACACCTTTCAATAAGCTTTTTCTGTTGATCATTTGTTTCATACGTGAGGTCACGAAAAATGCTTTTTTTAATTTCTAACTGTGCATCGTTGGATTGGAGTGCTTTGTTTTGATAATTTAAAATATTGTTTGGTTGCCGAAATACACAGCTCGCCACACAAATGTTTGAAAGGAATGCACCAATCACCCAAAACGCTTGTGACAAACCATATTTGTCAATAAGAAACCTGAAATAAAGAAATACAGAAATATTGTAAAGAACAATGTATTTAATTGCTCAACAGTCGCCATTATTAACTTGAATGCAGACACATACACAATTTTCTATAAAAATATGCATAAGAATTAGGACAGAGATATTGAAGTATTTAACTATGGTTAATGCTTGACAGAGGCCTCGTTAATTTAAAGCAAATCGTCAAAATAAACAATAAAGTCGGAGTAGGAAAGTATTTGCTGAAATTGAAACTTATAAATTCATAATGTAATTGAAAAAAAGAGAATGATTCGGTAGTCAGAATTATTCATGACATAAGGTGTACTTATCGAGTATTAAATGATTTTGTCAGAATGCAAATATAAAGGTTTTACTGTTGCATTAAAGAAGTATTATACAGCAGACGTTAAGAAAGGGAAAAAACTTTGTCGGTTAGTTTCAATCTAAAAGCACTATTGTTGGTTAGAAATACAGAGTAAATTCTTTTCAAAGTACCTGTAAATGGATGGAAACGAAAGTACTGCTATCCCTCCGGATGAATACTTAACGCCATTTGCTAAAGTCCTTCTTTTCTTAAAATATAAGCTGATGATTATGGAAGAAGATGTGTGTGACAAACAATATCCGATACCTGAAAATGAATCTCAATGCAGAGACATGTACATGTTTGTGTATATAGATTTATCATTTTTACACAAAAATATCTATTAAATGGATTTGTTTTACACAAGATTTCTTGTCAATATCAAATATTGTGATCATTGTTACATAAAAACTTGCAAGTTGTTATTAAAAATAAAATGTGTATCTAACATACCAATCATCATAAAGGTTAAGTACATAAGTTCGATTCGAGTAACAAATCCGGACAATAAATAGCCACATCCGACCATTATACCACCAGTAAATGAAACCGTTCTGAAGGAGTATCTTCTGCTCAGAAAATTTGCCAATGGTGCTGAATAACAGATTTTCAAATATTCAACTATGCAGTTCATAGACAATTATTCCATATAATCTGGTGTGTTTGCAAGTCTTAAGAATAAATTTGTTTGTGTTGTTTGTTTTGATTTTACGCCTTTTCTAACAGTATTTCAGTCATATAGGCGGGTAGTTTCCTAACCATCGTTCCTGGAGAGTTACACCAGTACTAGACTACCTTCCTCAGCGCTAAACTACCAAAGCATCTCCCGGGGATCGAACCCACGCCAGAGAGGTAACTGGATTAGAAGCCATCGACTGTAACCCCTCGACCACTGAGGCGGTTAACACGTGTTTATTGTTTTTTTTCTAATTATCATTTTTTTTAAAGTGTAAAGCTACATATGTATATCTCTACTGCAAAAACAATAATTGACTTATTAAAAATTATACGGCCAAAGTGCTTGTATAAAAAGAAATATGGGAGTAAATTGGCTTTAAAGACGAAATCATTACATCATTTCTAAACAGATAAAACCTACTTAAAACAGCACAGTGTGCCATTATATTTCGGGACATTTTATTCTGTTTGCGTACAATTTTCGTTTGCGATAAAACAAAAATATTCTATGTTACAACTCTTTTGAGAATCAACCAAAAAAGTTTTGAAACAATATAATTTTAATGTTGATAATATTGTATATTTTTTAAATATTTCATATGATGTAGCTCCTGCCCTTTAATTACATATTGTGAAAAAAAATAAATAAAACGAATGGTTCGTATCATGAATATTTCAGACATTGTTTCTCAGTGAACAAATCTAATTATGATATTCTTAACACATATCACGAACCAAGGACATGTAAAAGAAACCAGGTTATGCTGCCTATCCAAGCTGTATTTCCAGATCCTGCCGAGAAATGATCCAACATCTCTGTGTACAGCACACCAAATGATTTCAAAGAACCTAATCCGAGCAGGAAAGTTAAGCAACTTCCTATATTTAAAAAGAAAATTGCAATATTTATACATGAATACGTATACATTTTATCATTTTTCATAAATAACTGTATATTTCATTATAGATTCTCTTGATTTTAGGTGTACATTAAGGTAGTGAAAAAGTCTGTATCTTATTTCACGCAAATGATATCGGTCTTTTGGCAGACCGTGTTGTGACTTCTTACTATTTTGAAGTAATTTTTGTGATTGGTGTTAAACAACAGGTATGCATATCAATGTTAGTGAAATCATTTTTCGCCAATTTCTTTCAGAATCTGTTCAAACTTTATATTTGAAATTACTATAATTATTACAGAATATATTGATTGGCAAACTTGTCTTGAGACATCTAAATATTCAATGACCTTTGGTCTGTAATTTTAAGTAATCTAACGGGTTTTAAAGTGTGACATAACAGTTCATATTGTTCACTTAAGTGTTAATATTTTTTTGGGGTCCTTTGGAATCACTGATTCCAACACATTAAGTGTTGAAAATTCGGTACCACTCAAGCCTGTTTACCAAAGGTTTTAATTACAACTGCTTTATTTATCAAACAAGAGCGACAAGTGTTAACATGTGCCGGGTGATGATAGTAGATAATGTAGTTGTACTGGGAGTTGTACTGAATATACAGTTTGTTCCCTATATCACACGACTTCTCTGTAGCATGTTGCAGCTACTGTGTAGCAGGAGACACAAAATCGTTAACAGGCCAAAACGTTTGTTTATTCAATGACAATAACTCAGCCAAAATCATTCAACCGGAACACCGTTAAATATGCGCACACGTGCGATTATCAAATTCGATTAGCAGTAAAACAGGAGTAATGCAGAGAAGTTTTGTGACAGATAGATGACAAACAGACGGACAGACGACAATAAATTATCCTTATTCCCTAATCCGTAGCAGTCTTCACAAAAATAAAGTTTTTTCTGTGAACGTAACTTACAATAGTGTTAGCTCATTGTTGTTCATAATTACCATTTTACTGTGTTATATAATTGAGAAATAATAAATTGATTTGTGTAACATTACATTAAATTGTTAAATTTAGATTGTTGAGTATACAAGGTATCTCCACAGCTTTGGTGTTTCATGCTCTAATCATTATAATAAAGTTAATAAAATATATATTATATCGTGAGTATCTTATACTCTATTGCACTGATATATATTAGTTACTTGTTGTTTACAAAAAAAAGATACCATAGTGCCTTACTTAAGGTTACTAGAGACAAAGGAATAACTTTATATCAATTTGAAAAGTACGAATTATCATTATCATGGACAAAATGTTTATTAATTTAAGAAACGATCAAGACAACTTATTCCTGGTCGGACATGTAAGTGGGTAAGATATAATTTTATAGTTAACCTAACAATATAATCCACGCATATCCCGAGTCCATATCTTGTTCTGTGTTTGTTTCATGTCTGTCATCCTTCCTGGCGTTCTCTTCCACCATATTTCTACAATTACAAACCTAATGGTATAAAATTATGTATCTGTTCGTAAAAGAAGTAATATGTGTTAATTGCATGATCATTGAAATGAAATAAAATAAAGTGGCAAATATTAAACTGGATGTGAATAAACTTTGATATATATTGGACTGTTTAGAGCGTAATAATATACAATTATTGACTAGTGAGCCATTGAATATGATGTGATATTCACCGGCAGATGACATATTGACCGAGGCGATAGCCGAGGTCAATATGACGTTCTGCCGGTGAATATTACATCATATTCAATGGTTCACTAGTCAATAATTGTTTTATTATATGATAATTAGAAATTACAAAAAATCACAAAAGTACAACCTTATAATTATACATGTACTAATTTTGCCTCGTTGGAGCGCGGGAAAAAAGACGCACGTGTTAGGCGTGCAACGACTACGCGAACGCTGCGCATACCAAAATAATTCAAGTTTATACTCATCATTGCGGTGTAACTTTTAAGTATAATAGTAAAGTATTGATATTTTAATCGAGAAATATGCCATAAAGAACAAAAAAATATAATAATTTTTTAATCAACACGCGTAATTAACAGTCTACGGTGTATGATCATTGAATATGAGTCTCAATCTATTTTTAGACTGGGAAAATCCAATTCAGCCAGTGAATATGATGCTACACCCAGTAAATATGATTTTATAAAAAGTTCTGTTGACTACTGTTTGGACCAATGAGATTGCAGCTATATTTAGATCATATAATAAATTTCATTATTATATGATCTTAATATAGCTGCAATCTCATTGGTCCAAATAGAAGTCAAGTGAACTTTTTATAGAATCATATTCACTTGGTCAAGTATAATATTCCCTGGCTGAATAGGATTTTTCCCAGTCTAAAATAGATTGAGGCTCATATTGAATGACCATGTATCGTAGACTATTGTTGCGTTTTGTTCTTTATGGCATATTTCTCGATTAAAATATCATTACTTAAATAAAAGGCCACACCACAATGAGGGGTTTAAACTTTTATTACTTTTTAAGCGCAGCGTTTGCGTAGTGGTTGCACGCCTGACATTTGCGTCTTTTTTCCCGCGCTTCAACGAATCAGGCGAAAGTTGTTCCTCTGTGACTTTTTTAAGATTCTTAAAGCCTATATATATAATAAAACAATTATTGACTTTCGCCTCGGTCAATATGTCATCTGCCGGTGAATATCACATCATATTCAATGGCACACTAGTCAATAATTGTATAATACATTTATATCTGACAATTACAATGACATATAAAATAATAACAGCTCATTCATTTGTGTGATGTGTCATCAATGATTAAACTTTCAACATATTTACATTTCATGAATTAATATACTCAAAGAATTATACATCCTATGTTTTCATCGGCCGGTCCGGATTTGAGTTAAATAGCTGAAAAAGTAACTCACGTAAATATTGCCGGCAAAGAAACTTCTTTAAGATTATGATCACCTATAGCTAACCATTAACACATTTTCCGGTGTAATGTATAGATAACAATTTTGTTTCATATTATATTAAACACACGCGATTCGTTCGTGCTTATAACTATATTACTAACAGATAACAGTTTCATGCATAATTTATCAAAAGAAATCAAAGCACTGTAAGTACTTTTTGGTTGGATTTTAAGTCGCACCAATACAATAGATGTCATATAGCGAGTTTCAAAAATCACAACTGCAGGGGTCAAGTGCTGTGTGGAAAACATAAAAAGTTGCCCCGTACTTCACTTCATATAATATTTTCTAGTTCTTTGCGATCATCGTGTCCAGCAATATAAAATGTTGAGAATTTAGTACCGTTCAAGACGGTGCTATGGGCTTGAGGGATATTACACTTTTTTATTATCCCTCATGTACAGACTCAAGTCTGCAATTTTCATGTAATTATGTATTTCTAATGCTTCCGAGGGATCACTTTTTTCCAGATAATTACTGATAGAGGAAGATCTCAGGAACTCTTTCTTGCATACTTTTGGCACGATCGGGCACTGTAGAACCACTGACGTCCTATAAATTAGCTGAATAGCTTGCTTTCATGAAACATTCCAAAGTCCCTCGCGGCATTCGAACCTTAAGCGGTGAGTAGCAAGTTGTCTTAACCACTTGGTCAGACACACACCTCAACTTGAAGTAATTGTGTAATCAATACATTGTCGATGGAAGTGTATACTTGTGAGATTAATCCATGTTTGCTTGTCTGAGCTACTCGATATAAGACATATAGATACTTTTAATTTATAGAGAGGGGGAAGGATGAGTTCTGCATTCGCTTTCTGGCACTGTTAAAGTGTAAATATGCGTGCGGGTATCCTGTAGAAATAAACACGATGTTGATATATGTGTAACATCACTCATGTTTCCTAAATTGAGAAATACACGAGCTATTTTGTTTGGCGCGTTGATTGGTTTTTATACTCGTAGTTTCTGAAAATAGACCTTAGTAAAGGGAGACATAGGCAAAATTTTCATTTTTTTCGTTTTGGAATTTTTCATTCATTAATCTGTAAATGTCCTCAAATTGAATACAATAGGCAGTCACAGGAACAAAACTTTTCTCCTTATAAAGAATAAAATAGTGGTTTCCTAACTTTACCCACTAGGGTCAGGTTAGAGCGTTTAGATTTTACAATAGTTGTCACAGGGAACTCTGGAAACGTAAAATAACATGTCAAATGAATGATATAGGTTGTTTAAATCATTCAACATCTACAGTATCTGTAATTGTAACTTCCACAGTTTGTTTAAGTCACATAGCTAGTTTTAAAACTACTCGGCGATTCTGTCGGCGTCTAAATTTCGTTCAACATACATGCATATAGATATAATAATGCTTCAAACCAGAAATATATAGAATTCATACAGAAATTCATGCTTGGACTTTTACAAATGTCATGTAGCGTGATGTTAGTACATGTACATAAGATAATTTTGTCATTAATTTGCCTGAGTATACCTTTAACAAAAAGTTTAATCAGGGCTAAAAGTATAACATGTTTGTAGTAAATAAAATTTAAGTTTCCGAGAAAATGGACTATAACAAAAAATTCAACCAACGCCGACAAGAAATAGCCTTTAGTGGGGCTAAAAATTGCCCCTGCCTGGGGGACAAATGCCTTAGAAACCAATCTTCTCTAAATGTATAAGGCATAAAATAGAGAAAAACAGAATCCCTTAAGAAAGTTTATATATTTTGCATGTAACATCACCTTTAAGTCCTCTACAAATCATGCATGTGATGGCAGAGTTGACTTAGCCCTGGGGTCAATTTGTTTTTTTTTTTTACCTACACCCATTTAACATAGTAGAAATACTAGTTGAGGTTGTTTCAAGATATTAAGAAAATCTTCTTTTTAGCGCGAAAGTAAACCTGTCAATTACATTACAATTGTTATTGGTATTACTTGATAAAATTGTACAAGAAACTTTTTTTTTGTTTTCTGCCACTGTTAAACCGTTGGCATATTTTAGGATGTTATTCTCAAGGGAATATGAAAACAAACTGACTAGATATAAGTTTATAACCGTATCCAATGCTAATTATCATTTGATATAATTGAGCTTTCTATTAACAAGCTTATCTGATCAGAACATGAGCATCTCAGTCAACAACATATTGTGTCTAGAAAAAAGATATCACTTGAATCGACAATCAAAATATACAGCTTAATTTTACTCCTATATTCATTTGTTATCTGTTAATTATTCTTAAATGCATATTCCTGGCGGAAGTGTTATGCGTATTATATAAATAATAGAAAAATGTTCAAAAAGCGGTTTAATTATAAACATATTGAACTTTCTAAATTGCTTACTTTTTATCAATTTTGTAATGTTTATATGCCTGATTCTGAAACTATGTTGGATCAATAGTCAGTTACTTGCGGAGTAATCTGTAATTATCGGTTAGTTATTTCAAACATGGACGGTTAAGTTAACGTCAACATTAATGCATGACCGACATGTGTTTAAAATTCAACAAACCAACTAATAATTGTGTGGTTTTTTTTTCGTTTTTTTTCTTCCTTTTTTCTATAGAACTGAATTTTGGCCAACTCATATATGTGGATTAGTTTTTATTTCTACAACAGCATTTTCATGGCATACTAAATATTGAAAAAAAAATATCCAAATATAAAAATGTTATCAAAAAATAAATGTACGTATATTTTTCACTATTAGTCTAGTCTTTTTTTTTTCAGTAAAGTACATTTGTGAAGATATTTTGATATAACAACACAGTGTGATATCAAATTAACGTTGATCTACCTACAGGAACTAGCAATGTTAATTATTTCTCTCAGGAAATATCAAAGATCTATTTAGACAAATGAAACATTACGACAAGAATATATTTTCACAATCATTACTTCATCTTCAGGTTAATTTATGTTTCTTTCTATGGTAATATAAAAATATATATCAATGAGCGTCTTTTAAGATGCTTTCAAATTGTTCTTAAATTAAAACAGTTTTACAGCTTTTAAAGAAACTTGCTCAGAATGTAAAATATATAAGTGTATACAAGTACATGTAATAAGTATTTTAAAAACTCTTTTTTTCCTTTTTAAAATATATCAAGAAAAATGATCGCATGAAAAATTAAGTTTCATTATAAAGCACTGTCATAATCTTTCTTCAACAAAGCTTTCATAAGATGGTCAATTCTAAAATTTGAGGGCAAATATATGTCATATAATTATTTAATCTAGATGTCTTCTAAAACTCGGTGCACTAAATCGCAATTTCTGACAAAAATGATGTCGATTTCTTGGTGGAAATTTAGTTCTGTATGACTCACTGAAACATAAAAATATCATTTTCTGATTCCAAATTTATGAACTGATATTCAATTGTGTGGTATTTGTTGGGATAATGATATTTATGTCCGCTCCTCATAGTCCTTTAATTACAACTCTAAATTTTGAGCCAAGCGGTTCCTTTTAGTTGTGTTGTGGACTCTGCGCAGCTGTATGAGAATGGTCACAAGTGTCGCCTGATGATAGCCATTGAAGCAGTTGTATTGAGGTGATCGTAAACTTTTTCCCCCTTATGTCGCGGCTACGTTGAAGCAAGTTGCAGCTTCTGTGTATCATTTAATGACCATAATGAAGCCAAAAATATTCAACCTGAAAACCCGTGTTATATGTACAATCCTGTAAGTAGCCCTGTTAGTAGTCCGGACAAACTTTTAAAATAAAAAATATCTATTACCCATAACTCTAACAAAAATATTTAACTGGAACATGCCCGCTATGTGTACAACAAGACTTGGTACCGATCATTCCTGTTAAGTTTGAATGAAATTGCCTGGGTAGTCCTGTTAAGTTTTGTGACGGGAAGGCAGACGACATAGTGGTAATTGTAATATGTCGTTGCTACTTATAGAAGGCGAAACAAAAATAAGGAGGCATAGATTCCCTCTACATTCTTTATTTTTACTTCCTTTACTCATGACGAAACTAAAGCAAAATGTTTTCGTGCAAAAATTGATATTACGTACATTCTGCGGTACAGATATCTAGGAATCTTAATTTTTAGTCTTATCAATAAAAGAAAGACAGTGACGTTAGACAGATACCAAACAAAATGAAATTAATTTGTTTTTCAACACTAGTCTTGTGAATATACCAACTTGTACCAGTGGATAATTTCAAGTGTATATATTTAATATTAATATTTTTAGTAATCAAAAACCGATGACACTGAAAAATATGTAATCTTCTTAAAACAAATTTTCACAGGGACATAAATTAAGAATTTAAAAGTACCGGTTGTGTATTTGGCATCACGCATATTCAAAGTCCATGTTTATTATTGATGTGCATAAACATCCGTCAGTCAAAATGATATTACTGAATAGATTGAGGTGATTAACCTAACTGGTGTAAACATTATTTATGCTCGATTGCAAAACAAGTTCTTGCAACTTATATTAATCACTTTTAAGTCCGCTTCCTGGAACCAACCAGTACTGGTGTCAAATGAAGAACATGATCGTGACCCGATTAGGACTCGAGCCTATGATCACTTGATTGAGAGGCAGCCACCTTAACCGCTAGGCAACCGCTCTCCTTGAACCTAATTACTATCTCTCTGATACATAGCAAGCAACGAAATTAAACACCATAACATAGTCGTGAACCCAACAATCCTGTTTTTTTTTTTGTTTTGTTTTTTTTTTTTTTGGGGGGGGGGGGTGTTTTTTTTTGTGTAAAATACGAAACAAAGTTTAAAGACAAAGCCTTCTTCCTGTAAATTACGTATTATTAAAGAAAATGATTTAAAGTTCCACTGATCTAATGCGGGAATAATATCTTCGCGCAAATTTCAAGAATATATTCATCCTGCTTATCAAGGTATATAATAAAGGACAAGACAAAAAATAACCCAGAAAATTCTTTTTTTTTTAAAAATGACATTTTGGGGTATTGTTAAAAATAAAAATAAAAATTAAAAAATGGGGGAAAACATTTAAACTTAATATAATAAAATCAATTTTTTAATACGAACTCAGTTTGCGCTTATGCAAATTTTATTTAAGTTCAAATTCACAAAATGTCATGATTACAGTATTAAAGTTCTTTTGACTAACAACCTTTGAATTACAAAACAGTTATTTTTGTACTTTTAACTTTCCATTCATATCAATATCACTGTTCCAAACAAACTTTCAGTCACCATTATTTACAAAACAATCTCTAATTCTTGATTAATCATTTATGTAAATGCACATTGCAAGGATATAAAATATTTTACTTAAAACAATAACGCTAAAATTAACAAAAAGAACACATAAGACGTTTAATCAATTTTTACGAAAAGTGTTTGATACATGTATTTAGTTTGTTTCAAGTAAGTGTCCACCACCTATCCCTCACCGCTGTGGGTTCGTATCCCGACAGGGACCTTGAATATCTTTCATGTGAGGAATCTATCCAGCTAGCTAACGGAACGTCGGTGGTTCTACTCAGGGAACCGTACGTGCCTGAAATAATGCACGGAAGGACACCTGAGGTCTACCTCCACCAGTAAAGCTGGAACGTCGCCATATGACCTATACTGTGTCGGTGTGACGTAAAACCCAATTAAACAAACAAAGAAAGTAAGTGTCCTGCACTTGATAATACGATAAATGTCATATAACAAAAGTAAATAAATAGATTTCACTTTATATGTTTGGTTGTTTTTTCTTTGATATTCACATTTCCTATTTAGGTAAGTGTGTTTCATCCACTTTATCAGTTTTATTCAGATTACCTTCTTTTCTGTCGTGTACATAAGCTTCGTTTACTCGAGATGCCAATTCATTATCAACATTTTCTAATGGATAAGTCTTGCCCATGCCATATCGAATGACAACTGGTTCTAGTAACAGAATAACACCAGAACAAATTAGAGTAATACCGGTTAAGATAAATGCAGGATACCAGCTTCCGTAATAATCAGCCATCCAACCTGATAAAAAATATGTGATATAAGTTAAAACATGAAAATGAAGAAAAACAACACAAAACAAAATTAGTAAAATATGGGTGGGCTGAACAATATAAATATATGTCTATTATACCCTTTGGCTTCGGTCCCTATTAAGCTTACTGACCGGTCACTATAATTCTATGAGGCCCTCAGTGATGTGTATTGTTTCTAAAGCATAACATTTGTAATAGAATTAACAAAAAAAAAATAATTATTCGAGCAGTTTTAAAGTAAAAACTCAGTCTATTTTCGAGTATTTACAGAATAAGAGAACATAAATATATTTATTATACAGAAAACATTTGTATTAGTGTTTTATGAAAGTCAAAACTTAAAAGGTTTCGGGTATATATGTTATACTTACCGGCTATAGGCTGGGATACCAAAGAAGAAATTGACATAAAAACAAATATGATGGAGAAGGCTGCTGGAAAATTTTCCATGCCCACTCTTTCAATCGCTAACACTGATATAAGGGCAAGAAAAGAAGCTGGAAACGCTGCCACAACTCCGGCGTATACTGCCATAAACGTAAAAGTACCGAACAGTGGTGATATCAAAGCAAACACTCCTCCAATAAACATGCAAACTACGAATATATATTTCTTTTGAATAATATTCAGATCTGCAAACCATCCTACAGCGATTCTTCCGATCAATTCTCCACCACCAATTATAGATACACCTATTGTAATGTAAGTGTTACTATACCCAAGTGTTTTGATATGGGCAGGAATTAAAATGTAATTGGTAATGTGGCCAAATGAACAGATAGTGAAAGCCATAACTAACAGTGTGAAACGACTGTTCTTTAACAAATTAAACTTTAACTTAAGTGCATTGCAACATTTTTTCTGATTTTCATCTGAAATGCTTTCTTCTATTCTTGCCTCTGCATTGTTGCTTTGGGGTGGTTTGTTTGGCTCCCGGAATAAACAGCTTGCCACACAAATGTTTGAAACAAATGCACCTATCACCCAAAATGCCTGTGATAGACCATATTTGTCAATTAAAAACCTGAAATGAAAACATATTCGTGGGAGAACAATATATTTACGAACAACCGTCATTCTTATCCTGAATACAGATCTAAAAAACTATTTGATAACATTGGTCTTTTGTCATTGCCATCCATACACAAACTTGACACAGATATATAACTACTGTCCTAGGATGATAATTTGGTCTTAACGGTACATGGGAAAGTCCAAAAACGAGGTTATCTGGATTATTATCCGATATCGTAAAAGTAAACACTTACAAATACAGTCTAACTTGCCCATGCGACCACGTGTATTAAGCGACTTTTGTCTTAAACGACCACTTTAAATTCCCCCCGATCATTTTCTCTCTATATCTTTAATGTATTAAGCGACTTTTGCTCAACGCGACCAGCGACCGCTAATTAGTCACCTAATTGACATCAATCTTTTCATTAAACGACCACTTTTACCTGTCAAGTAATTGTGTTTTTAGAGAACGCCACCTCGTTATGTCACAAGTGTCAAAAATCAAAACACAACAATAAACGTGTGAAAAACTCTATTTCCCATACCGTTTTAGCGTATGCAAATGAAGTTAAGTATACGCGTGACGTGTATTATCCAATAATATCGGATAAACAATGCAACGCTCCGCCCATACTGAGATGGTGTATACGCTTCGCTTGTTGACATTTAGACTGCATTGAATTGACCTTGAACTTGATCAGCCATTAAATTAATCGCAACAAATAGATGTAGTTTGTTTATTTCAAATGAAAAAAATGCACAACAGAAAACATCTTCACTAATAGGATTTTCGTGTTGGAGACAAGGAAAACAACGGAGAAGTTAAAAAATTCTGGAAAAAATGTCAAACATGTACGTAATGGATCTTGAAACTGTTTTGTCAATAAATATTTTTACATTTGCATCCATTTAGATTATCGTACCTTTTTCAACATTTATATAAAAATGAAGTTGAAAAACAATCACACCGAATAAAAAAGATGTCATTTATAAATTTTGACTTTTATATCATGCTGACTGTCTTAAGAGACCGTTTCATTAAGCGACCGTTTTGGGTGTTTCCCTTGCCCGGTCGCTTAATACACGTTTGACTGTACATATACAGCATTATTCTTACAGTAGTGTGTGTATTACCGTTATGGCTCTGTCGGTAGATCGAAATTATTTGTAACTTTTAGAGTTTTGTACTCATAGGTTCGAACCCCAAGTAGTGCTATTTTATAACCACAGTTTTTTCTTCTTGCTCTGTTTTTTTATCATTATAATTATTCATTTATTTTCGTTTTCGTTTTTGTTTTCTTCTTATGATATATATTTTATAGTATATATTTATTTTTATTTCTATTCTTTTTTCTTTTTGTATTTTTTGATCACAGTGAAATAAAATATTCGATCTCATATTCATGTATGTATATGAAAAAACCGGTCAAACTTGTTTTCTGAACAATTGACTGTTCTGAGGTAAAACAAAAAATGTGTCGTACCAGTAGTCGAACTTCTGTCTGTACGGATAAACACATTACTGACACGGTTGCTCTAACTACTGCGCTAACAAGACATATGATAACATGTAGTTTTATTTTAATTTTTATAGATTGTGGCATTGATCTGCCTAACCTATTTTTCGCATTTTTATTGGTCTTTGTTATGTAAACAAGGCTCAAGTTATCATCCTAGGACAGTACCTTATCTATTGTAAATTCGAAAAATTCTTGACTGGGAATTTGTTTTAGACCTTTATCCGAGGAATACCACTTAATCATGCGAACAGTGGTTGCAGATAACCAGTTGCTGAAGTTTAGGAGCATTGAATTCATCATGTAGTCAAGAAAGAGAATGGTTCTTTTGCCAGTATTATTTATGACGTAATGAGAACATATCGATAACATATAGATAATTACGAAGTTAACCAGAACAGACGTGTAGAAGTTTTTTTCAAATCACTATCGTTGATAAGAAATACATTTGAAATTATTTACGAAGTACCTGTAAAGGGATGGGAACGTAAGAGCAGATACTCCTCCGGCTGATACCATAACGCCATTTGCTAAAGTCCGTCTTTGTTTGAAATAAAAGCTGATAATAATGACAGAAGAGACGTATGACAAACTATATCCGATACCTGAAAAAAATAACAGCAAACAAGTTTCATAATACAAACTCAACTAATAAAAATAGTTCCCTTTTAACTGTAAACACAAATGTCTTATATAAAATCCACCAGTTAGCATTACAATATTTTAAAAATCATTAAGTAGATCTGGTAAGCTTTACAAAATGTTATTGATAATTGACAGGTTTTGTAATTTTGTACATACATGGCATATTCTTACTCCTAAGGCTCCATAATTGTAAATATCAAATACATGCATTGTGAATTAAGTGAACTAAAATCTTGCCATCAGCAGCATCATTTCTTAATTCGCTCTGTTCTAAATTAAATATATCTTCAACATACCAATTATCGTAAAGGTTAAGTACATAAGCTCAATTCGAGTTACAAATCCGGACAAGAAATAGCCACATCCGACCATTATACCACCAACAAGCGAAACCAATCGGAAAGTGTATCTTCTGCATAAACAATTTGCCAATGGTGCTAAATAACAGATTTTCAAAATATTAGACTATGCAGTTCACAGGCAAATATTGCACGTGGTATTTATTGTTAATATTTTCTCATTATTTCTTGAAATTTAAATTTTGAAAAGAAAATTAAAGCGAATGAAATTGTCAAATATTATTTCTCCGTCAACATGTAAGAATTATGATATTTCAAATACATATCACGAACCAAGGACATGTAAAAGAAACCAGGTTATGCTGCCTATCCAAGCTGTATTTCCAGATCCGGCCGAGAAATGATCCAACATCTCTGTGTACAACACACCAAATGATTTCAAAGAGCCAACCCCAAGCAGGTTAATGATAACACTTCCTTAATTAAAAACAAAATTGCTATACCATTTATGTACATATTATACATCGCACCATTCATCATAAATGACCTTACTGTAACTTTCATTACATTATCATTCAGGTGTTAAGTTAGATAATGATTAACTATTTTCCTTAATTACCACAAAATATATCAGATTGGCATTTTAGCAAGTGATTTATAAATATTGTGAAAACAATAGTCGTAATAATTGGCTTAAAAGAGATTATAAACATGTATATATATATATATATATATCACTGTGACGATTTGTAGTAAAAAGCAAAACTGGTCTGTTTCCTTCCAAAATCTTATCGAATACATGTAGTTTACATCTGGAATTTATACAATAGAATATATTCATTTTTATATATTTTAAGTTCTGTACTTCTCAATTTAGAGTTTTATTGTAACTACTGAGATGCTGCTACACAGCAAAGAGAAGATAGAAAATCTGGTTTCATTAAAAAAACATCTAGGGCATTACATGATTAAACTTAAATGCAACTATTGAATAAATGATATTGTTAAGCATATTGTAGAAACTTTGCACAGTGCTCATCTAACTGAGAGGTCTGAAATTATTAATGCAGACAAAGGTTCCTTTAAAAAAATGGTAAAATGCTTAGAACGTATTGAATATTGAAAAATAGAAATATGAGTTTTATGTTGAGAAATACTTTTTCTGCTTTGGTGTTCCGAGTTCCAATCATAATAATAAATTTTATAAACAATTATTTCTAAAATATATACGTATCTAATACTAAATAATTAATGTTATCATCATGTCATTTAACTACAACACATGGCATGTATTAAAACAATTAGTTTGATTGTCAGCTTTTAAATAGCAAATTGTGTACAAAAAAAGAAAAGGTTGTTTCATGTACTAATATTTATGGCTATATGTTTCTTAAAAAGCAATATAACATACTGTTAATTTATCTAAGAAACGATGAAGACAAGATGTGCCTGGTCGGATACGTAAATGTTTTTATGTAATAATTTTTTTATAGTTAACCTAACAATACTATCCACGCATATCCCGTGTCCATGACTTGTTCTGTTTTTGTTACATGTCTGTCATTCTTTTTTGCTTTCTCTTCCGGCATATTTCTACAAGCACAAACCAAATTGTATGAAAGCATGCATCTGTAAGTTACGGAAGTAATTATGTGTTAAATGCATGATCATAGCAGCATGTACTTCATATAAATTTCAGTGTTGTGTCATGAAACTTAACTACAATGTAATATAAATTCATTATTATGTGTATTAAAGCATAAAGTATATTATATCATTTTAACAATTATAAGAAACGTTTTTGGAGAGCGTATTAGTGTTACCAGTGTAAACAATAGCAATAATACATACTGAACCAAAAAAGAAACTTTCGCAAAGTATGTGCCAGTTGTTCAAGGGTACAACTTAGATGTACACAATTATATACATGTAGTAGCTTGTAAAACTCGTTTTGTTTGCAAAATCGGTCAGCTAATCCCCGTATAAAAGCCTGACGTAAAAATCGAGTTTCAAAAGGATTGAAAACTGTAATAACATATCAACATTCAAACTTGGATAAAGTTTCTTTTTTGTTTCAGTATATAACTTGATATATAGGTAAATCGCCTGATGACATTCCTAGCGGCTTAAATTTAACATTTAAAAGTACTTGAACCCAACATGAAACGCGATGTATGATAATAACTGTAACAAAATATCATATTTGCATGAAATTAAAACGAACGTTTGACATAAAATTTCCGTACAAACTTTGTATTGAAGCGGTACAATGTTTTGGTAACATATTATAAAATCAAACCTAGACAAGATGCAACATAATATTATACACGTACAAAATAACTGAAAACGAGGGTTTTTTTTTTTTTTTTTTTTTTTTTAAAGATTTGTTTTTGCCTTTGATACGTAGCACATGGCTGAACAATTCTATATTATTTAATATTCATATTTTCCTTATTATTAGATTTCAAACTAGACTACGTGGCTTATATTAAAAAGGTGAAAGGTGACATAAAACGAATCTCAAATGTAAAAGTTGTTGTTTTTTTTTTCTAAAACTTTGTTTTTGGACATTCTACATAGTCCAATGTTTTTTTTAAGTTGGTATATGTTGCGTAGTCTACTAAATAATTCAATAAGTGTGGCGTTATATATTGAAGAGTTGAAATAAAACAACACTTTTTCCTACAGTAGTTAACTACGCTACATGTATATATTGTGTGTAACATCTAAATTATATTTGCTACTTTTATACCGTGTAGTAAAATACAAATATGTTGCATTTCATGAATTTTTTTTACCAAAACAATTGTAGAAGAAGAAGAAAATTTTATTCAACTTATACATTTACATCTTAATTGTTTCTCGCCCGATTGGTTTTAAAATAAGAAACATAGAAAAAAGTCGATAACTCACGTAAATATTGCCTGCCGGGAACCTGCGTTTTAAGAGTATCAGTTAAAACAATCAATTAATTAAAAACATTATCCGGTGTAATGTAAAGATTAACTATTTAGCTTAGATATTTACATCGGTCATTAAGAAATACACATTTCGTTTTTGCTTTAACAATTCGTTTTTGCTTCAACAATTTCATTTAAAATTATATACTATTGAAGTACAAACGCCTCGGAAGAGCGAATAAACAGTTTTATGCCGTACTTAACAAAACAAATCAAAGCACTGTAAATCATGGTAGAGTTTCTTTAAGCAAGGGCATGGATTAGGGAAGCAGAAACCAATTTTTTTATGCATTTTATGTACAAAGGTAACAATGGAGAGGTCATTTAATCGTAAAGTAACTAGAGTTAAAATTTTTTTAGATTAACTGTTTATGCAATCAAGTCAAATTGGTTTATTTCAACTTTTAGATAATACATGATTCAAGGAATGTGCATTAGTTTTCAAGTTTTCAAATATTCACGCTTTTTTTATATTTATTTTGAGCTCAATTTTTGGCGAAGAGGACAGTACCTGATAGTTACCATAATCACTGAGCAAAGTTTATACTTAATTCATTGCTCGATTATGGTTTTCATTAATAAATGTGTCACTTTCCAACGGAAGGGTAATAATGGCGGGGTAAAAGCGTCAATAATTGTTAAATTTTATTAAGATATATCAAACGACAATATCCAAATCATAAATGTAAGAATAAAATAAGGTGCCACAACAAATGCATGTCAAGAGGTAATCAAGAATTCAAAAGCAAACAATAACTGATTTTGTAGGTAACAACTTGTTAATCCAACAGTATGATTATTATAAAAAAATTCTATAATTATTACAGTATTATAAAGAAATTTTACTCAAGTTGAAGTTTTAAAGAAAGAAAATCAGAGATATATGTTGCCAGTTGTCATTACATCAGATTATTGACTCACCTACACTCTTTACTGAATCTTTTTCGTCAATAATTGACCTTATATTTACTTCTAACAACTATCTCATTCATACTAGCGGAGTTGGCGATCCTTTTCTCCAGCAGGATGTCAGGTATCACTGTCCTATATACTGTTTACTAAATTTGAAAAAAAACCGAAGCGACTGTCTTTTTATCGAAATGTTTGGATATTTGATAAGGGTAATTACGATTTCTTAAGACATTTGGCCTCTGTAAGTGATTGGGATTCACTGAAAAATGAAGATATAAACGTATATACTAATAACATAACCAGCAATATAATCAATATCTCGAAGCAATGTATCCCAAATAGAAAAGTCTTGATCCGAGAAAATGAGCCTCCTTGGTTTAGAAACGACTTACGATTACTTATTAGAAAACGAAAAAGACTGTATCGTAAAGCAAAACAAACTGATTCACCTTTTTACTGGGCCCGGTTTCGAACCCTGAGAAATCACATAATACAAAAATTCGCGTAGCAAAGAAACAGCATATCGACAATTTAGCCCAAAAATTACAACAGGAAAATCAAAATTCAAAAAGTTGGTGGTCTCTTCTTAAATCATTTATCAAACCTTCCTATTCTATCTCAATACCAACACTTACCTCTGACAACATTATCATATCTGACAACGTTGAAAAGGCCAATTTTATGAACGACTTTTTTGTCACGCAGACACGCATTGATGAAAGTGAAGCTCCCCATCTCCCCGATTTACCTAACGTTACTAACCATCTGGATGATATAAGTATAACACCAGGCGAGGTGGAATTGGTATTAAAATCTCTTTCTTTGGAAAAAGCCGCTGGTCCTGACAATATCAACAATCGAATCCTTCGCGAACTCTCCCATGAACTCGGTGGTCCTCTAAGTGCTCTTTTTAACTATTCTATTCAGATTGCTCAAGTTCCAGATGCATTGAAAGAACCTAATGTTTCTCCTCTCTTTAAATCGGGCGACCCTTGTTTAGTTTATAACTACAGACCCATATCCCTAATTAGTACTGTCAACAAAGTCTTAAAAGAATTATATTTAAACACACGTTTAACTTTCTGAGATCTAACAACATTATCACATCTCTTCAATCTGGTTTTGTTCCCGATGACTCCACTGTCAACCAATTAACATATTTATATTATATTTTTGCACAGGCAATTGATTCTGGTAAAGAGGTCAGAACTGTCTTTTGTGATATAATTAAAGCGTTTGATCGAGTCTGACACAAAGGACTTATTTTCAAATTAAATTCGATCGGCATATCTGGTCGTCTTTTTCTTGGTTTTCTTCTTACCTCAAAAACAGAAGACAGAGAGTCGTTCTCCCCGGTTGTAAATTATCTTTTAGTTATATAAACGCTGGTGTGTCGCAAGGGTCTATGCTTGGGCCACTGTTGTTTCTTGTTTATATTAATGATATTGTTCTCGATATTAATGCAAATATAAGACTTTTCGCTGACGATACAAATATTTTTATTGTTGTAGAAGACCCTACAACTGCTTCCACTATCCTAAACACAGATTTGCAAAAGATAACTTCTTGGGCTGAAAGGGGGTTGGTAAAATTCAATCCCCTAAAAACAGAATCGTTATTAATATCGCGTAAAACAAACAGACTTATATCATCCTCCTATTATTATGCAAAACACACAAATAGAAGAAGTACGTAATCACAAACACTGAAGTATAACTTTTACTCATGATTTACGCTGGTCAACACATATTGAATACATTAAAAATAAAGCTTGGGAAAGAATAAATGTCATGAAGAAACTAAAATTTCAACTCGACAGGAACTCACTACAAATCATATATCTTTTATTAGACCGATTATAGAATATGGAGATGTATTATTTGACAACTGCAATCAAAATGATAAAAAAGAGCTCGAACAAATTAACCAAGAAGCAGCAAGAATAATTACCGGAACAACTAAACTTGTGTCTATTGATAAACTCATGAAAGAAGTTGGGTGGGAATCCTTGGAAAAAAGGGGTTACAAACATAAATTGATTCTTTTCTTTAAAATGAAAAATAGTTTTACTCCTCAATACCTCTCTGACCTTGTCCCTTCGTCTGTTGGTAGTGAGCATCGGTACCCACTCCGGAACTCAAACGACACACAGAATATTCACACAAATACAGATTATTACTATAAATCATTCTTGCTTTTTGTTATCAGAGATTTCAATTCTCTTCCACCTCAAACGCAAAATGCCTCAACCTTAGCTTCTTTTAAGCGCCTTCTTAATAATGATTTGCCAAGTGTGCATGCTTATTTTGTTTCTGGTGATCATAAACTTCAAATTGTTCACACAAGATTACGCACTCACTGCAGTTCGCTTTCTGCCGATCTATTGGAAAAGAATATAATGGAATCTTCGTAATAATACCTTTTTTTTTGAAAATGTCTTTGATATCTTTTCAACTAAATGAATTTTGTGCATGATAATGCCATGAACTGTATATATGTAAATTGCTTAAACTGGGACAGGACACTCATAAGCTTTCATAGCATTCTACCCAATCCCAAATGTATTGTGTAAATATTGTTCATCAACATGTAAATATATCGAATAAAATATGTAATGGCATGGATAATGATAACTTTCTATTTCTACATCCTTTTCTCAAATTGGAAATAGAAGTAAAACGGTTCTGGACAAAGTGTTGGGAATCGGATTCAATGCAATACACTTTTATATTTGTATATGAAAAAAATCTTTTATAGTGACTATGTATGTCATAGGCTTGCTTGGATCCCATGGCGATGTCGGGTAATATATTGTGCCGAGTGGTTCCCGTGTTGTTGTTATTTTTTGTTGTTTTTTTTGTTGAAGATTTGCGTAACTGTATGTAAATTCTCCTCCCATTCTTTGTCTTTACTTACTTTTTAAAACTTAAGAAAGGTAACCTGTTCGGCTTTTTTTTTGTATAAACGTAACAATAATTTACATTACAATGAAAAACGGTTGAATCCGCTAGTTATCTAAAATAAGAATTTGAAAGTACTGATAAAGCAATAATGATGTGTAAACAACCGATAAGAACCATACTATTAAATCACTCGTTAATTTGACTTTGACAGTTAATGTTAAGGTCACATTAAACGTGTTCAGATCAGGTGCTTCGGGTAATGCAGTGGTCAATTTTGAATAACAAGCAACATATTGACTATAAGTAAATCTCTGACTATCAGTTAATGATCACTTAATTGTTCATATATTAATTGTTTCCAGAAACTACGAAATAATGTTTAACTCTAACTTATTACTCTGATTTGTAATTATTTGTAGCTTTCTATGAAATAAATATTTCATCCAAAATTTATATAACATGATATTAGTTTTTGTGTCGCTTTGAAAAGGTGACATATAGGGGTTACTTTGTCGGCGGCGTCTGTGTCGGCGGCGTCGTCGTCGTTGTCGGCGTCGGCGTCCCCTAAAGCTTGTCCGGAGCATAACTCAGTCACTATAAGTCTGATTGACTTCAAACTTGGTATGCATGCTTCTTTAAATAACCCGAAGTGCAGTGCACAAGGACCGGTACTCTGCAGTTCTTATTTTTTGAGTTATTGCCCTTTGTTAATTTTCATACTTTAATTTTGTCCGGGCCATTTTTCTTCAACTAAAAAAGCTATGGACTTGAAACTTCATAGGATGATAGATCTCATTAAGAAGAAGTGCAGTGCACAAGAACCGGTACTCTGCACTTCCTAATTTTTGAGTTATTGCCCTTTGTTAATTTTCATACTTTATTTTTGTCCGGGCCATTTCTCCTAATGTATAAAAGCCATGGACTTGAAACTTCATAGGATGATAGGTCTCATTAAGAAGAAGTGCAGTGCACAAGAACAGGTACTCTGCATTTCTTATTTTTTGAGTTATTGCCCTTTGTTTATTTTCATTCTTTGATTTTGTCTGGGCCATTTCTCCTTAAGTATAAAAGCTATGGACTTGAAACTTCATAGGATGATAGGTCTCATTAAGAAAAAGTGCAGTGCACAAAAACAGGTACTCTGCATTTCTTAATTTTTGAGTTATGGCCCTTTGTTAATTTTCATACTTAATTTTTGTCCAGGCCATTTCTCCGAAAGTATAAAAGTTATGGACTTGAAACATCATAGGATGATAGATCTCATTAAGAAAAAGTGCAGTGCATAAGAACTGATACCCTGCATTTCTTATTTTTTGAGTTATTGCCCTTTGTTGATTTTCTTACTTTATTTCTGTCCTGGTCATTTCTCCTC